TTGGGAGGAAGAGTGCCCCGTCATTGGTGGTATCATTGGGAGGAAGAGTGCCCCGTCATTGGTGTCATCAGTGGGAGGAAGAGTGCCCCGTCATTGGTGTCATCAGTGGGAGGAAGAGTGCCCCGTCATTGGTGGTGGTCATTATTTTTTCTCATTTTAGATTAGAGAGTAAGGGAGAGTTATAATCTCCATCAGTTTTTTTTTTTTTGCCATCTGAGTCCCATTGGGGAGATCTCTCTTCCTGTCCCACATCAGAAACAGAAAGTGACAGGAAATCCCTGAAAATGAAGGTCACCAGTGCTAGTGTCCCCATTGCAAGATTTCCCCTCTATTATTTTTCTGGGGATAACCCAAAATGTGGGGTTTTCTTTTACTTTCACTTTCAATGATAACTGTAACCAGGACAAATAGAGAGGGTGACTCTCCCTAACAGGGGCACAGACGGCAATAAAAAAAAGCTGACGGGGTCTAATTCCTTTCCACTCTGTCCAAAACAAATCACAAAAAAGTTTTGCCTTTGTTGTTCTTTCATGTCTGAGGTTTACAGCCACTTTAAAGTATAAATAAAGCACATCCCTCTATAGTGTGTACTTATCCCAATCCAGAGCACTAAGTGTCATTTCTGTCTGCTGCCTCCTTCCTCTTCCAACAGCATGAATCACATGTGACAAGTTTTCCTGACACCAAGAGAAAAATGGTGACAGGGGAGGGACCTCCTGCAGATTGACAGCCTCAGCTCGGTTCCTGTGTGAAGGGTAGGGAGTCCCTTCTTTTCAGTCAGCTGAGTTCTCCTTACTGAGCTCTGCAGAGTGTAATTTCAGCTTCCCGCCCCCTATATTCTGAATTCTCAGACAAGCCTTATACATTCTGGACATTAACGGATGTAGCGAAGAGAAGACAGCAGATAAAAATGTATAACTTATGTAGGAGGATATACTTCACTGGGTATATGGAAGGATTTACAACTTTAGAGCACTTTATAACTGGTGCCAATACATGTCAGTGAATCAGTAGAGAATTTATTTATTTATTTTTGACGTGGGTTGGTTTATATTTATCACAGGTAAACCCAGCCAGAGGGACCCTCTTCAAGAATCGAGCTTCCTCCCAAAATTCAGTGGAGGAATAATTACCTCCAGCGTTCTACAGAACCGTACCTTGGCCCATGGTCAATCCTCTTCTGGCAAACACAAGCCGCTAGCCTGCTCCATCTGCGGAAAACGCTACGTCTCCAAGCGGAGACTGGAAATCCATGAGGAATCACACAGGGAACAGAAGACTGTGTATCTCTGTACAGACTGCGGAAAGTCCTACCGCACGGAGCACAGTATGACCATGCATCGGAGGATACACAGCACAAAGATATACCAGTGTCCAGACTGCAGAAGACATTCGATCAGGTCTACTACCTGGTCTTGCATATGAGAGGCCACAAGGAAAGCCTTCAAAAAGGTCAGGACGATAAATCCTCAGAACCAGGAACTGCAAGCCTGGGCAGGGACAAGAACCCACCTGGGCTTGGGGCTACCAGTTTTGTGAACTCGGTCCGGTACATCCCTAGCAAGGATGTTCCCTTACTGCTGCCAGAAAAGGACCACACCAGCTCAGGCCAGTCCACCAGGAGGAGTAAGTCACCTCCCAGTACCTTCCTTAGGCATTGAAAAGGGAGTGGGTCAAGACCTCTGCCTGTCTAGAAAAAGGAAAGGATGGAGCGGCAAGGAAGGACAATTAAGGAGGGTATAAATTGTGAACTGCAGATGAGGATCGTGAGTTGAGCCTCCTAACTCAGATTCCAAACCATGTATCTTCTACAGGCAGAGGAAACACAATAACTGACCAGTCTGGCAGAAGATCTTCTTTTTCATGGATTTTGGTGGTGCATTTCTGTTGGACGTGATGCCTCCATCTCTCATATGCTGTCCTTTAAGAGACTAAAGGCCAGGAGGATAAGTTCCTCCAAATAAATGATGGTCTGGTGCATTCCTAGTTGGGATGTTCCCTCCTGCTGCCAGAAAAGAACCAGACCAGCTTAGGCCAGTCCACCAGGAGGGGTAAAAGTCACCTTCCCGTACCTTCCTCAGGCACTGAAAAGGGTGTAGGCCCAGACCTCTTCCTGTCTGTAAAAAGGAAAGGACTGGGACCAAGGAAGGACCATCAAGGAGGGTATGGGTAGGGAACTGCAGCTGAGGATAGGGAGTTGAGCCGAGCCTCCTTCCTCAACAAGATTCCAAACCATGTATCTTCTCCAGACAGAGGAAACACAACTGACTATTCTGGCAGAAGATCTTCCTTTTCGTGGATTTTAGTGATGCATTTCCTGTTCCTGTTGTAGGTGATGCTTGTCTCTCATGTACTGTCCTTGAAGACTGAAGGCCAGGAGCACAAGTTCCTCCAAATAAGTGATAGACTTGATTGAGGGCTTTTTTCATCCTGGTCTCCTGACTGTCTTGCCGAGGTCGGTGTTTCCTTGTTGTAGGACTAATGGAGGTGATATGAAATTTCTTCTAGACAAATCCAAAAGGAGAACGGAGCTGCTGAAAACAAGAAAACCCCAAACGTTAATGTGTGCCTTGTGGTTTGTTGAGGACTATGATTGCCCAAGAGCACCACATGCAGTAGGACCTGTGCACACTGGGCCTTTTTGTACCCGGTGCATGAGGCTCCAGTGTTTAGGAGCAGGTGGAAGGTACAGGCGCACTGTAGAAGAAGTCTACATTCTGGGCATTCACCCTAGGGTAGGGGGGTCAAACTGGTGGCCCTCCAGCTGTTGCGACACTACAAGTCCCATCATGCCTTTGCGAGTCATGCTTGTAACTGTCAATCTTGCAATGCCTCATGGGCTATGTAGTTTGGCAACAGCTGGAGGGCCGCTGGTTTGACACCTATGCCCTAGGGTGTATGCTGCCATAAACTTGGTGCACTCTCCGGCTGTGTAGACTCTTACAGACCCCCAGCAGTGGGGCTAGACAGTGCGCCTGTACCTTCCACCCACATGTAAATGCTAGGACCTCCTGCATTGGGGTTAAATGTCAAGTGTACAGAGAGGAGATCTGCACATTGGAAATGTTGATTGGGTTTAAAAAAAAAAAAAATAAAACATTTCGAAAACATAAATCTGGTGAATGGATTGTGATCTGTTGTGCTACATAAATTGGAATTTTGTACTCACTGTAAAAATTTTTTTTGGAGTCTGTTGATGGACTGCCGGGTTATACTGCTGCCTACAGGACTGGACACTTCAAACTGTAAACCAGCCCCAGAATAACCTCTCCCTCTATCCAGTGTGCCTCCATTTTGTAGCAGGCAGTTCCGAGACCATGAAGTGGTGGGCTTGTGTCCCTCAATGGACTCCAAGAAAAGGACTTTACAGTGAGTACAGAAATCCTAGGGGGGGGGGGGGGGGGGGGGGGGGGGAAGGGGGGGGGGGGGGAGGGGGGGGGGGGGGGGGGGGGGGGGGGGGGGGGGGGGGGGTGGGGGTGGGAGTTGGGGGGGGGGGGGGGGGGGGGGGGGGGGGGGGGGGGTGAGAGGGGGGGGGGTTTGTGGGGGAAACCTGGCAGCTGATTGGTTTCTCTGCAGAGCTGCACCAGATTTTGCACTCTCCCGTTTTAGTAAATTAACCCCATTGTCTTGTTACACTTCAAAAGACTGGGAAAAACATCCACTGAACTGCCATTAGCTGCAGCAAAATTGTATTGGATTCAACTGCTTTGTCCTGTGGATGGTGCCAATTCAGCAAGTGACGATCCTTTGAGGGGTTTACATGCATTCCAGGGGCAAATTAACTCCACAGGTACACTTAGATGCATAGTTGCAATAATAAACACTAACACCAAAAATATATCTAAAAGGCATTGATTTTATTGACTCCACCCAGCAAAGAAATCCCAAAAATTGATAAGGGGCGGGACTGTGACCACCAGATAGCTTACAAAGCAGAACACACGCTGGGTTATGGCGACAGATACCCCATGGTGAGTGTAAACAATGGTCATGGCTCAACAACAAAGTGCCACTCAGACTGTTTTTGATTGTAGGTGGAGTTTTTGAAACATGCAAGAAAAAAAAAAAAAAAAAGAAATGTAACATTCTCCCCCATCCCCCCCCATACAAGGTGTTAGCAACACATCTCTAATATATTTTAGAAACTACATCTGTCTATAATAAAAAAAGTTATATTGGTATAGAAAGCCAGACTCCACCATTCTGGCACAGGCAAGATTGTAGGGAGGGGCCTGTGACCCCCATCTTTCTTCCTTATGCCTGTTCTGGCTCTTGAAGTATTTGCTGCAACTAATGCAAAGCATTCCTTGTGACTTTTGCCACTCATAAAATAATCCTGATTGTTCCTTTAATGGGCTGCAGCGGATACTTCAACAGCCGGTACAGATGCAAGGGAATGAAACCGATTGTGGATCTTGCTGTTTTACTGCCCTCTAAGGTCATATTTTCCAGGAAGGCGGAGCAACACTTTAAGGTGCTTTTTTTTTGTTTGTTTTTTTTTAAACTAAATATGAATTACAAAAATAAAACAAGTCTTAACAATGGCCTTTTTCTTTCACTTAGAGGGGGGAAGTCGACCATTTTCGGCCACTGACTCTGGTAGTCTTGCTCCATTGGCTTGTACAGGTCTCTTGTCTCAGGGGGCTGTACTTGTTACTATGGTGATGCCGAATGCTCCTTTGCTGCAGGGCCCACCAAAACACTTGCAGAGCCTGTCCTAGCTTAGTGGAACAAAACTACTGGTTGGTTGCCAAGTTTTCACCCTTCTTCCTCAGAGGACACCTCCCATAAACAGGTGGACAACTCCTTTTAAGACGTGACGTGTCCATGAACTTTGTTAGTTGGGCTGGAACAAGGAATCCGAATCGAAATATGTGGCAGTTAATGAGAAGTTGCAAACGCTTGTCCCATGCTCCTTCACAACTGCCAACTAGTTAGCAGTTGATAGCGCTGGTGTCCATGCTGTGCAGTCTAGAGAAGAGCACGGGTAACGTTCGAATTCACAGTTCCTGCATGTAAGGGCGTGGCGATGGTGGTGAGGTGGAGTACGTGTAGGCTGTCTCTCCGTGTTGCCCGGGATGAGAGGTTTGGTAAGATGTGGAGGTGGAGGAGACGTGGCTGTATGAGGAAGAAGTGGGGGGCAGGTTGCCATAGGAAGCCCTGTTGTACCGAGCCGGCGGGGTGGGCTGGGATGGCAAAAAAGCGCCAGAAATGGAATGGTCGGAGTATTGTGTCTCCACAGAAGATGGCGGCGGTGAGTTCTCATAGATAGAGCCGTCTACGAACTGGGAGACTATGTTCAAGACGCCAATGCGCAGGTCCAGCTTCTTGCTCTCCGGAGCCCTTTTGAAGTACGGCAGTAGGCTTCTCAGAAAGGTGACGTCATCGTCATTCATATTCTGGAAGAGGTCAATCTCTGGAGGGCCTTCACCAAGCATCTTCCTCTGCTCCTCGTGGAACCTCTTCTGCTTGTCCTGCATGCTGGCCATCATGTCTATGATCTTGGACTCAAAGTCATCCGGTGGGCTCTTGGCGATTTTGTGCTTCTTGGAGGCTTTGGAGGCCTTCGGAGCTGGTGCTGGCGGCTCTACAGAAACTTGGTAGGTGGGGGTGACAGAAGGTGGCAGGATTGGGGAGATCTGGACAACTGGGGGCGGCGCTGGCTCCTCAGTTTCGTTAATCTCTGGCGGATCTAGGGTGTCGTCCTCGCCGATGGTTCTTTGTGGTTCAGAATAGTCTTCATCATCCTCCGTGTTGTTGGCGTTCTTGCCTTTTCTGTTGAAGAGAACACATGTATACCTGTGTTTCAGTTAGAAGCATTCATCACCATTTATTAATTTCAGTTCTCATAAACAAGAGCTGTGGCAGCCCGTGGACCTCGGAAAGGTCTCACCACTGATGTGCCCAAGAGAGTGAACCCTTCCTGTATAGTCTAAAGCCCACGCTTTGCCTGGCTACAGAGGTGGCCAAATTGGACTGATGGACCTTTGCCATGTGTAGCAGATGCACATATTACAAAAGTGGTCAATGGAAAGGGCTGTATGAGAGCTTCATACACATGCCCATCATTAAACGACCGCTTTCGCCATTTAGGGACTGCTGACCTCCGTTGAGCCCCACGATAGGGAGCAAAGGTCTATGATAATGTCTCCCAGATGACAGTCATTTCATGTTGGCGTTCTCTACAGGCAATGGAAAATATATTCAGATAAATGGACAAGGAGTCTCCACCTAGGAGCTGTTTCACCTGCAAGGCTGATGGTTGACACACGTTAGAAGAGAAGGTCCAAGATGGAGGCTCCTCTATTTGTCCAGAACATAAAGTTGCCAGCATTTGAATTCAACAGATTGTCACCATGGAGACAGCCAAACTGAACTGATAGACCTGTGCCATGTGTAATAGATGCTCCTCTTTGAACTACAGCTTCCACCCCAGACATTTATGAACTGTTGCCCTGAGTTGAGGCCCACAATAGGGAGAGTATTAGACAGACTGAACCCTTCTTGTATAGTCTAAAGCACAAGATTTGCCCAGTCAATTGAAATGACCAAACTGGACTGATGAACCTTTGCCATGCGTAGCAGATGCTCATATTACAGAAAATTGAAAGGGTTGTATGAGAGCTTCATGTATGTGGCCCTCACTGAACTACAGCTTCCATCCCAGCCATTTAGGGAACGTTGACCTCAGTTAAGGCCCACGATAAGGAGAGTAGGTCTAAGATGATGGCTTTCAGATGACAGTCACTTTGTTGGGGTTCTCTACAGGCAATGGAAAATATATTCAGATAAATGGACAAGGAGTCTCCACCTGGGAGCTCCTTCACCGATGCGTTTTACCCACAAGGCCTTTAGAAGTTTATGATCAAGCCCAGTCTAGTGGTTGACACACATTAGAAGAGAAGGTCCAAGTTAGAGACTCCCATTTATCCAGAGCATTTGAATTCAACAGACTGGCACCATGGAGACGGCTAAACTGGACTGGTGGACCTTCACCGATACATTTCTCCTGTAAGGCCTTTAGCGGTTTATGATTAAGCCCAGGCTAGTGATTGACAAGTGTCAGAGAAGATCCATGGTGGGTCCTTCTTGTCTGTTTGGCCAGACCAGTGAAGTTACCAGCACAGACTGGATGTGTTTGGTGTGTGGGGCATAAGTCGAGCACTGGCCTGGCGTTTTGACCCAACTGTGGATTTGGGAACACCGCCCCCCAAATGTCTTTGTCCACACCCGCAATTTTTACATGGGTTACAGCCAAGTGGTGATCCTTTCAAGGAGGCGTAAACCTTGCAGAGGTTCCGACCACCCCCGAGACCTGCTGAGTTTGAGATTAAAGTACTTACTCCCGCATTTCCATGCTCCTCTTCAGGAAGCTGAGGTCTTTGAAGAAGACGTACGGCTTCTTCTTCTGGTTGCTGGTAAAGCCCTTCCCCTGGCTGTCGTTTAGGTCCCTCCGATACCGATCTCTCGCGGAGCGCCACCGAGTCTGTATGTCTTTCGCTGGAAGGGCGGTTTGAAAGAGACTATGTAAGTTTAGGCAACTAACTGTGTGCCATTTAAAAAAAAAAAAAAAAAAAAAAGGACAACATTTATGGAAAAGATTTTCCACTGTTCATATAGTGAAGGGTTCTTCACGGTAAGAGCAAATAAGCCGTGTGGGATTCACAACCACAAAGGGGAAAGCGTAAAACCTAGACCAGAGTCTATACAGAGGACATCAGTTAGGCAGAGGTTCTGCAGTTAGTATAGGGAGAACTTCTTCAGAGTAAAAGCTGTGAGATGCACAATCTCATGAGGTGGCACCAATAAAACCCACAACAGAATGGAACCTGAGCCTTTTACTCCATACGGCCAAAACGTAGAACAAAAAGGCATCAGTTGCATATGGAGGAAAATAAATTCTAACTTCATTTTGGGAAGTGTCTCTTTTCAGTAACAGCAGTAACGCTGGGGGATGTACACCTGCATGAGGTGACCCTAGTAAAATCTATATTGCAGTGGTACAACCTTCTATCTCAAGGACCCTACAAAAGGAAAGAAAGCGGTCAGATGCATACAGAGGAAGGAAGTTTGAACTGCAATTTAGGGAGGAGCTCTTTTTAGTCAGAGCAGTTAAGCTGAAGGATGAAGAAGTGCATAAGGCTTTACTATCAAAATATATAAAGAACTGGCAATCTAATTTTTAAGGGGTGTACAAAGGACCAGAGGGCATCAGCCACATATGGACTAAAGAAATAACATTAGTTTGGGAAGAGTTTTTTGTAGTAAGAGCAGTTAAGCTGTTTGGTGCAAAACTGCATAAGCAAATAAAAAAAAAAAAAAAAAAAATCTATACAAGGAACCTCAAATTAACATTCTATTCCAAGGGTCATACAGGGGAGGCATTTCAGATTACAAAAAAAATTATTTCAGTTTAGGGGTTCTTTTCAGTAAAAGCAGTTAAAACTGCATAAGCTGACACAATCAAAAATCTTAAATGTGATGGCAAATTAACTATGTACAGTGAATGAAATAAGTATTTGATCCCCTGCTGGTTTTGAATGTTTGCCCACTCACAAAGAAATGATCGGTCTAAAAATCGAATGTTCGGTGTATTGTAACACTGAGAGACAGAATAGCAACAACAAAGTCAGCAGAAATGCATGTCTAACAAATGATAACTGATCTGCATGTTCATGAGGGAAATAGGTATTTGATCCCCTATCATTCAGCAGGATTTCTGGCTACCACGTGTCTTTCATACAGATAACAAGCTGAGATTAGAAGAAGTCTCTTAAAGGGAGTGCTGCTAATCTCATTTTGTTACCTGTATAAAAGACACCTGTCCACAGGAGCAATCAAACAATCAGATTGCAAACTCTCCACCATGGCAAAGACCAAAGAGCTGTCCAAGGATGTCAGGGACAAGATTGTAGACCTACACAAGGCTGGACTGGGCTACCAAACTATGGCCAAGCAGCTTGGTGAGAAGGTGACAACAGATGGAAATGGAAGAAACACAAAACAACTGTCAGTCTCCCTAGGTCTGGTGCACCATGCAAGATCTCACTTCGTGGAGTGTCAATGATCATGAGAACAGTGAGGAATCATCCCAGAACTACACGTGAGGATCTTGTCAATGATCTCCAGGCAGCTGGGACCACAGTCACCAAGAAAACAGTTGGTAACACACTAAGCCGACAAGGATTGAAACCCTGCAGTGCCCGCAAGGTCCCTCTGCTCAAGAAAGCACATGTCCAGGCCCGTCTAAAGTTTGCCACTGAACATCTGAATGATGCAGAGGAGGACTGGTTGAAAGTGTTGTGGTAAGATGAGACCAAAATCGAGCTCTTTGGCATCAACTCAACTCGCCGTGTTTGGAGGAATGCTGCCGATGACCCCAAGAACACCATCCCAACTGTGAAACATGGTGGTGGAAACATTCTGCTTTGGGGGTGTTTTTCTGCTAAGGGGACAGGAAAATTGCACTGCATCAAAGGGACAATGGACAGGGCAATGTACCATCAAATCTTGGGTGAGAATCTTCTTCCCTCAGCCAGGGCATTGAAAAATGGGACGTGGATGGGTGTTCCAGCATGACAATGACCCAAAAAACACACGGCCAAGGAAACAAAGGAGTGACTCAAGAAGAAGCACATCAAGGTCCTGGAGTGGCCTAGTCAGTTTCCAGACCTTAATCCGATTGAAAATCTGTGGAGGGAGCTGAAAGTTCGAGTTGTCAAACATCAGCCACCAAACCTTAATGACTTGGAGAGGATCTGCCAAGAGGAGTGGGCCAAAATCCCTCCTGAGATGTGTGCAAACCTGGTGGACAACTACAGGAAATGTCTGACCTCTTGATTTGCCACCAAGTACTAAGTCATGTTTTGTGAAGGGGATCAAATACTTATTTCCCTCATGAACATGCAGATCAGTTATCATTTGTTAGACATGCATTTCTGCTGACTTTGTTGTTGCTATTCTGTCTCTCAGTGTTACAATACACCGAACATTCGATTTTTAAACTGATTATTTCTTTGTGAGTGGGCAAACATTCAACATCAGCAGGGGAGCAAATACGCATTTCCTTCACTGTATGCCAAGGGCCATACAAAAAGGACAAGGGAGTCTCAGTTGGATATGGAAGAAAAAAATGTTACAATCATCTTAGGAAGGGGTTCTTTTTTGTAAAAGCTGATTTTTGTTTTTTAAAAACCTATTTTTGAACGTTTAATTACCGAATTATAACAAAGGAATATTTGATTATAGGAATTGCCAGTTACCCTGACAGGGTCAAGAAGGATGTTATTTTTATTTTTCTGTAGGCCATAGCTGTTCTTAGTAGAAGGGGCAGGGTTTAATTAGACCCTCCTCTGGAACTGCCGGAGCTGCATCCTGTACCAGGACTGCGCCCGATTCTCACCTCTTTGTTTTTTCTGCCGTTCGCTGAGGATGGCCCAGTCGGGGGTCAGCAGCGCACACACCTCGTCCCAGACTTTCTTCTTCCGGTAGCGGTCGGAGTAGCGCGGGCACTCGGTGTCCCATAACTCTGGGCGCTCGTGGACCATGCTAATCAGCTGCTCCAGGCTGATGTCCCAACGGGAGCTTTTCCCTTGGATCCCCTTCCCTGTTAGAAGAACAAGACCGCAAGACGCTGGTCAGCGCCAGGGTATACTGACGATCAAGGGCTCACAAATATTCTATCAGTCGATCATCATTGGGCACATGGCCTCCAATTTGATGCGTTTCGGGGAAGAAATAAAACCCTTCTTCAAGGCTCCGGTGTTCAAAGTGGTGGGAGTCCTAGGATGGCAGCAAAGAAACCGCGAACCTATGCAGTAGGAAAAAACACCACTTAGAACGCCTGAGGAAGGGAGAGTCTGTTTTACCGCTGAAACGCGTTGGAGGTACAAATATGCTAATGACCCAATACGCTATCTAGGGATTATTGGGCAAATGTGCTGAGTTTAGCTGGCCCCCAACACTATCATCAAGCCCAGAGAACGAAGCTCCGATTGGTTCACGAATGGACTTTTTGTTCCCGATTCAGAACTGCGTAGCTATGTCAAGCCGGAACATAATCGATTTTTTTTTATTTTATTTCCTCATATCACTCATGGGTGTTTATAAATAAAAATTGCATAAATATTCGTCCAGTGAAAGCGAGTGTACACCTGTCCTCCGGCCTTGCCACTCAACATCTTTAGATGACCTCGATCTGATTTTATCCACACTGGGATTATATAGATTGGGAGTTGGCTTGGTTTAGGTCGTTGTATATTAGCGACCTCAGTGTGGCGCTCTCTTGGCTGGCTGAGGGGTTCCCATATCATCGAACTTTGGGGTGTCGGTGTGACTAGGACCGGCTGTTTTTAATGAACACCATGGCTACATTTGTAACGCTTCTACACGGCTCCAAAAAATGAAAGGGAGACTTTGAAAACCCATCAGATCTCAATGGGGAGGAATCTCCTGCTGGATCTTTATACTGATATGGACGGGGTAATGTGTGAGGAAATTCAAAGACACCCCAAAAATCAAAGTGAAGAAATGATGCAGCAGGCGAGTCCATTTTGGTGAAATGTCATTGCAGCAACTCAGAATGGTCCTCAGTAGTTTGTATGGCCCCCATGTACTTGTATGCATGCCTGACGTCGGGGGAGGGTCCTAATGAGACCACGGATGGTGTCCTGGGGGATTTCCTCCCAGATCTGGACCAGGGCATCACTGAGCTCCTGGACAGTCTGAGGTGCAACCTGGCGGCATCGATGGACCGAAACATGACATCCCAGAGGTGTTCTATGGATTTAAGGTCAGGTGAGCGTGGGGCCATTCAATGGTGTCAATTCCTTCATCCTCCAGGAACTGCCTGCATACTCGCCACATGAGGCTGGGCATTGTCATGCACCAGGAGGAACCCAGCACCCACCGCACCAGGAGGAACCCAGGACCCAGCGCACCAGGAGGAACCCAGGACCCACTGCACCAGTGTAGGGTCTGACAATGGGTCCAAGGATTTCATCCTCATACCTAATGGCAGTCAGGGTGCCATTGTCTATCTTGTAGAGCTCTGTGCGTCCTTCCGTGGATATGCCTCCCCAGACCATCACTGACCCCACCACCAAAACGGTCATGCTGAACCATGTTACAGGCAGCAAAACGTTTCTCCATGGCTTCTCCAGACCCTTTCACGTCTGTCACATGTGCTCAGGGTAACGTGCTCTCATCTGTGAAAAGCACAGGGCACCAGTGGTGGACCTGCCGATTCTGGTGTTCAATGGCAAATGGCAATCAAGCTCTATGGTGCTGGGCAGTGAGCACAGGGCCCACTAGAGGATGTCTGGCCCTCAGGCCTCCCTCATGAAGTCTATTTCTGATTGGTCAGAGACATTCACACCAGTGGCCTGCTGGAGGTCATTTTGTAGGGCTCTGGCAATGACAAGTATTGATGTCCATCCTGGAGGAGTTGGACTGCCTGTGAACCTCTGTAGGGTTCAGGTATGGCCTCATGCTACCAGTAGTGACACTGACCCTAGCCAAATGAAAAAATTGTGAAAAACAGAAAAGATGGAGTAGGGAAAAAATGTCAGTGCCCCCACCTGTAAAACCATTCCTGTTTTGGGGGTCGTCTCATTATTGCCCATCTAGTACACCTGCTGTTCATTTCCTGAACACCAAAGCACCTGAAAACTGATGAACAACCCCCTCTGTTGCTTACCTGACCAGATCAATATCCCAGGAGTTTCACTGACTTGATGCTAGGCTCTGATTACAAAGAGTTCCTTTCATTTTTTGAGCAGTGTGTAGAACGAGGATGAATTCCTTTTTGTCGTACTCCTTTGTTATATAGCCCCGAGGAAAGATTATCTGAAACGCATCGGGTTTGTCCAGTGGAACAAGAGGAGATTCTTTTTTTTACATCAGCTAAAGTTTCCTTCATGTGTATCCATGTAGCCACTCTGCTGTGATTTTTATGGAATCTGAGAAATTTGTGACATTTTATTGTACTAAAATAAAGCTTTGTTATATTTGACCTCGGGTACTTTTCCTGTGGCCCTCAAAGTCCCCTTGTGCAAATATTGGGAGTTCTTCGCTCTTTCTGCATAATCATGGGATGTTGGTAACTATTTTAAGGACATACGCTGGCGATATTTGTATTTGTGGTAAAGATCGGTTTATTCATTACGAATATAGAGTGAAATCGGGAAAATACCGCATGATGGCCACTAGATGGAGCTGAAGATCATAGGAAGGAAATCCAGCAGGGGTCTCCAAACTATGGCCCTCCAGGTGTTGAGGAACTGCAAGTCCCATTAGGCCTTGCAAGACTGACAGCCAGAGGCATTATGGGACTTGTAGTACTTCAACAGCTGAAGGGCCATAGTTTGGGGACCCCTGAAATACACCATAGTAAGAAGAGATACAATGTAACAATTCTAGAGAAGGCGGGGGAGGGGGGATCCTGTTTTGAAGTATTTTCCAGATTCTCTTTCCAAGTTCCGAATCAGCCTAACTTTACTACTGCCCATAAATCGTTGAAGAACATTCGACCTGAAGAGGAAATAGCTCAAGAACATTCAATTTTGCCCCAATAACAGCTGGTTAGTTTGCGCAAAACTGATTTACATTTGATGCGTTGGGCTACCCAGTGCGCTGCAGGAAAACGCAGCACGCCAGCACTTTTCCCGCACCACGGCATACATCGCGCCAGCCCTGTGGGTGTGAATGGGGCACATCGACAATAAATCGCGGTAACCAGCGTTCGCACGGTGCGCAAAAACACTGCTTGCCGCACCCTGCTGAAATACCCGCCTATTTACTACTCACTCTGCAGCATGTGCATGGGGAATCCCTCATTCATAAGCTGCGACGCAGTCTGCTCCTCCCCAAACTGACCCTCCAGGTGCTTCGCCATGGCGTCTCCGGGGTCTGTGAATAAAGAGGAGGGTGAGATGTATGAGAGACCCCAGAGACGAGGATATTGGGGGGGGGGGGGGGGGTGGCAAAGGGTTAAACCTCCCTTGGAGGTGATCACTGACCTGCGCCGCTGATCTCCGTGGGGGATTTCCTCCTCTTTAATCTGCACATAGATCTCTTCCTCCTCCAGCTTGACCACCGGCTGAAACTCGTCCTGTAAAAGTCAAGTCACGGCTTTCATGGCATCTAGTAATGATTTTTTACATCAGGATCCCCATCAGAGCCCCCTTACATCAGGATCCCCATCATAGCCCTCCCCCTTACATCAGGATCCCCATCAGAGCCCCCCGCTTACATCAGGATCCCCATCAGAGCCCCCCGCTTACATCAGGATCCCCATCAGAGCCACCCCTTACATCAGGATCCCCCTCAGAGCCCCCCCCTTACATCAGGATCCCCCTCAGAGCCCCCCCTTACATCAGGATCCCCATCAGAGCCCCCGCTTACATCAGGGTCCCCATCAGAGCCCCCGCTTACATCAGGGTCCCCATCAGAGCCCCCCTTATATCACGGTCCCCATCAGAGCCCCCCTTACATCAGGATCCTCATCCAAGTCCCCCTTACATCAGGATCCCCATCAGAGCCCCCCTTACATCAGGATCCTCAATCAAGTCCCCCTTACAACAGGATCCTCATCAGAACCCCCGCTTAAATCAGGATCCCCATCAGAGCCCCCTTACATCAGGATCCCCATCAGAGCCCCCCTTACAACAGGATCCCCATCAGAACCCCCGCTTACAACAGGATCCCCATCAGAACCCCCCGCTTACATCAGGATCCCAATCAAAACCCCCGCTTACATCAGGATCCCAATCAAAACCCCCGCTTACATCAGGATCCCCATCAGACCCCCCCCCCCCTTACATCAGGATCCCCATCAGAGCCCCCCCCCCCCCACATCAGGATCCCCATCAGAGCCCCCCTTACAACAGGATCCCCATCAGAACCCCCGCTTACATCAGGATCCCCATCAGAGCCCCCCCCCCCTTACATCAGGATCCCCATCAGAGCCCCCCCTTACCTCAGGATCCCCATCAGAACCCCCCTTTACATCAGGATCCCCATCAGAGCTCCCCCTCCCCTTACATCAGGATCCCCATCAGAGCTCCCCCCTTACATCAGGATCCTTATCAGAGTCCCCACTTACATCAAAGCCCGCAAGAGAGCCGCCTTACATCAGAGTCCCCCTTACATCAGGGTACCCATCAAAGTTTCCCTTACATCAAATCCCTGACCAGAGTCTTCCTTACATTAGGGTTCCCCTCCCATTAGAGTCCTCCATTACATCAAAATCCCCATCTGAGTCCCCCCTTACATCAAGGTCCCTATCAAAGTACCCCCCTTACATCATAGCCCCCATAAGAGCCCCCTTACATCAGAGTCTCCATCAAAGTCCCCTTTCTATTAGCGTGCCCATTTCTGTCCCCCCCTTACATCAGGGTCCCCATCAGTATCTTCTCTTACATCAAAGTCTTCCTCAGAGTCCCCATCAAATGTTCCCTTACATCTGAGTCCCCCCTTATATCAGGCTTCCCATTAGAGTCCCCCCTTACATCAGGGTCCCCATCAGAGTTTCCCTTACATCAAATCCCTGACTAGAGTCTCCCTTACATTAGGGTTCCCATCGCATTAGTCCTCAATTACATCAAAATCCCCATCTGAGTCCCCCCTTACATCAGGGTCCCTATCAAAGCCCCCCCTTACATCAAGGTCCCCATCAGAATCCCCCCTTACATCAGGGTCCCCATCAGAGTTTCCCTTACATCAGAGTCCCCCTCATATCAGGTTGCCCATCATTGCTCCCCCATCCTTATATCATGGTCCCCATCAGAGTCCTCCTTTACATCAGGGTGCCCACCATTGCCCCCCTTGTATCTGGGTCCCCGTATCAGAGTGCTCTCTTACAAAGTCCCCATCAGAGTCCTCCTTTCTTTGGGGTCCCCATCAGAGTCTCCACTTCCATCAGAATGCCCACCATTGCCTCCACCCCAGTTACATCAGGGTCCAGCAGAGTCCCCCCCCCCCCCCTTTCATCAGGTTGAAGCAGAGGTCATAGGCAGCTGGTTTTGCCCTGAATCCTAACTGACCGATCTGTGGGCTGAATAAATTCTTGTAGTGGGCCAGATGCCAGCTTTAGGTTTCAGTTGCGGGCCTGGAACCAGTACAAAGATTTGGCCCAATACAAGATGTTCTATGAAGGGGAAGAGGAGGGTGTCGAAATACAAAAAACTGGATGTTATTGGGTCGTTTTCTCTCCAGGTAGAAAGTTATTCATTCATTGGAAAAAAAAAGTTGTTTGGGAAAATTCTGCATATGGCCAGTAGATGGCATTGAAGATCATACTCATTTCCTCAGCTCCCTCTACTGGTGAATGTGTGGTACTTTCCTTTTTTATGAAGGAATAACATTCGACCTGTAAACAGTTTCGATTTTGCACAGAACGATTGCAGCAGCAGTTTCCCTGGACAAATGGCTTTTTTTTTTTGTATCCCTCCCGTGTATGAGAGCGGCGGCGGGTCTGGTATCTGCAGAGGTCAGACATGGTGGAATGGTTCTATGGCACCCACCTGGAGGTCCAGCGAGGACATGCTGTGCTCCTCCGGCTGGCCCTGATCCTCCTCCATCCTGGATCAAGGCTGAGCGGACCAATGATGGGACTCCGGAACGCCGGGCTGAGGCAGAGAAGGGGAGGAGTTAATACTTCAAGCCAACCGGGTGAAGGGTCACTATTCATCTGAACCGACCTCGTGCAACATTCAGGTGTAGAAAAAGGGAGCGTACACAAGTGTGCGGAACACCTCCGGGAATCCCCCCCTGTGATTGGCTCCCTCTCGGCTTGTACAGAGCTAGAGGCCGGATGTCACACACACATCCCCCGCATGGTCTCTGGGTGTACCGATCTCTATGGCACGATGCATACCGATCTCTATGTACGCACCGATGCATACCGATCTCTATGTATATACAATGTATACGGTTCTCTATGTACACACAATGTATACCGATCTCTATGTACACACAATGCATACCGATCTCTATGTACACGCACATTGCATACCGATCTCTATGTACACGCACATTGCATACGATCTCTATGTACACGCACATTGCATACGATCTCTATGTAGCTCGAAAGAGCAGGGCCCTCGATTCCCCTACCGATCTCTATGTACGTCACACTTTGTAATGTACATGCACTACCGATCTCTATACCGTACGCACAATGCATACCGATCTCTATGTACGCACTCTATGCATATCGATCTCTATGTACACACAATGCATACCGATCTCTATGTATATACAATGTATACGGATCTCTATGTACGCACCATGCATACCGATCTCTATGTATATACAATATATACGGATATCTATACGCACCATGCATACCGATCTCTATATATATATATATATATATATATATATACTCACAATGTATACCGATCTCTATATATATATATATATACACACAATGTATACCGATCTCTATGGAGACACCTCCCCGCCCCTCCCCCCGCTCTCACCCGTCCAGCGTTGGACTCTCTGCTCTGATCCCTCCGTCTATGCAGAGAAGCGGAAGCAGATCCCGCCCCCCCGTTTCCCAGCCGCTGATTGGCTGAACGCTCATCCTTTTCTCCGGCGGATATCAACGTTCCATTCAACGACCGTGACGACCCCGCGATAGAGGCCGGCCCCATCCCTGACACTGTCTCCGTACTGGACTCCGACAAAATGGCCGCAATCTCTCCCCCCGATCTACTATTAGCTGTGTGGGACAGGCAGGGGGGAACCTCCCTGTAAATTCAGGATAAATGGGAGCAGGTTTGTGGATGGATTTAACCCAGGCTGGCCATACACAATACAATGGGGTCTCCTCCATGGGGGTCTGCCAAAGCAGCCCGTTCAGTACATCCAATCAGGCTGGAGCACTGGGTCTCTGTGCTTCTCTATGCAACGCAGGCTGAGTGCTGTACAAGACTTACTGAAAACATCACATCACCCTACCTCAGTCCTATCAAGGAAGCAGTGGGAGGAGATATGCAAATGTAAAATGCCATGATGGGCGGACTCAGTATGGAGGAGTGGGTGGAAATAGGTAGGCTGGTATTTCCATGTAAACTGCCCGAGGTGACGCCCAGGGCTGAACCACCAGTCCAAATATTCGGCCTATAGTTATTTTACTCCAGAGTCACCCTCAGACGAGCTGATTCTGTGATCTGACTCCCAGCTCCAGAGTTATCCTCGGATCTCGCTCTCTGCTCCAGAGCTATCTTCAGACCAAGGTCTCAGATCTGACTCCCAACTCCAGAGTTAGCCTCAGACCGAGCTCTCAGATCTGACACCCAGCTCCAGAGTTATCCTCAGACCGAGCTCTCAGATCTGACTCCCAGCTCCAGAATTATCCTCGGATCTGACTCCCAGCTCCAGAGTTATCCTCGGATCTGACTCCCAGCTCCAGAGTTATCCTCGGATCTGACTCCCAGCTCCAGAGTTATCCTCGGATCTGACTCCCAGCTCCAGAGTTATCCTCGGATCTGACTCCCAGCTCCAGAGTTATCCTCAGACCGAGTTCTCAGATCTGACTCCCAGCTCCAGAGTTATCCTCAGACCGAGTTCTCAGATCTGACTCCCAGCTCCAGCATTATCCTCAGATCTGACTCCCAGCTCCAGAGTTATCCTCAGACTGAGCTCTCAGATCTGACTCCCAGTTCCAGAGTTATCCTCAGATCTGGCTCCCAGCTCAAGTCGGCCTCAGACGGAGGTCTCAGATTTGACTCCAAGCTCCAGAGTTGGCCTTAGACTAAGTTGACTCTCACATCTGGCTCCCAGCTCCAGAGTCGGCCTCAGACCGAGTTGACTCTCACATCTGGCTCCCAGCTCCAAAGTCGGCCTCAGACAGAGTTGACTCTCACATCTGGCTCCCAGCTCCACAGTCGGCCTCAGACCGAGTTGACTCTCACATCTGGCTCCCAGCTCCAGAGTCAGCCTCAGACCGAGTTGACTCTCAGATTTGACTCCAAGCTCCAGTCGGCCTCATACTGACCTGACTCTCAGATTTGACTCCAAGCTCCAGAGTCAGCCTCAGACCGAGTTGACTCTCAGATTTGACTCCAAGCTCCAGTCGGCCTCAGACTGACCTGACTCTCAGATTTGACTCCAAGCTCCAGAGTCAGCCTCAGACTGAGCTCCCAGATCTGGCTCCCAGCTCCAGAGTTGGCCTCAGACCGAGCTCTCAGATCTGACTCCCAGCTCCAGAGTTATCCTCAGACTGAGCTCTCAGATCTGACTCCCAGCTCCAGAGTTATCCTCAGATCTCACTCCCAGCTCCAGAGTTATCCTCAGATCTGGCTCCCAGCTCGAGTCGGCCTCAGGCCGAGGTCTCAGATTTGACTCCCAGCTGCAGAATTGGCCTCAGACCGAGTTGACTCTCACATCTGGCTCCCAGCTCCAGAGTCAGCCTCAGACCAAGTTGACTCTCAGATTTGACTCCAAGCTCCAGTCGGCCTCAGACCGAGTTGACTCTCACATTTGACTCCAAGCTCCAGAGTCGGCCTCAGACTGAGCTCCCAGATCTGGCTCCCAGCTCCAGAGTTATCCTCAGATCTGACTCCCAGCTCCAGAGTTATTCTCAGATCTGACTCCCAGCTCCAGAGTTATTCTCAGATCTGACTCCTAGCTCCAGAGTTATCCTCAAATCTGGCTCCCAGCTCGAGTCGGCCTCAGACCGAGGTCTCAGATTTGACTCCCAGCTCCAGAGTCGGCCTCAGACCGAGTTGACTCTCAGATTTGACTCCAAGCTCCAGAGTCGGCCTCAGACCGAGCTGACTCTTGCATCTCGCTCCCAGCTCCAGAGTCAGCCTCAGACTGAGCTCTCAGATTTGACTGAGCTGACTCTCAGATTTGCCTCCCAGCTCCAGAGTCGGCCTCAGACCGAGCTGACTCTCATATTTTGCCTCCCAGCTTCAGAGTTGGCCTCAGACCGAGTGGATTCAGATTTGACTCCCATCTTCAGAGTTGACCTCAGACTGAGCTTTCAGATTCGACTCCCAGCTCCAGAGTTGGCCTCAGACCGAGTGGACTCTCAGATTTGACTCCCAGCTTCAGAGTTGGCCTCAGACTGAGCTTTCAGATTTGACTCCCAGCTCCAGAGTTGGCCTCAGACCAAGTGGACTCTCAGATTCAACTCCCAGCTCGAAAGTTGTCCTCAGAATGGAAGAAGGAATATAAAACACATACCAGGATGACCTTACTTCCAATTAAAGGGAAATGTTCCTGCCAGGGCTGGTTCAAGCATCTAAAAGTTCAGCCTGTAAGTATTTTGCTCGAGTCACCTGCAGACAAAGCCAATTCTCAGATCCGACTCCAGAGTTGTCCTCAGGCTGAAAGAAGCCCTTTAAGAAGTGAAACATGAAAACGTGAACATAAAGTCCATTTAGGGAGTGACTCTACTTTCGCTGAGAAAAAAAGCCTAAACAATCCCCTTTGGGTGATCACCGATGATGAAGTGCGCTTTCATATTTTTCACTTCTTAAAAAGGGAAAGCGCACCATTTTTGTATATTAAAAAGAACCGGTCCCACCAGGACCGATCCAAACACCTAAATGTTCAGTCTCTAATCATTTTGCTCCAGAGTTGCCCACAGACAAAGTTGACTCTCAGACCTGACCCCCAGCTCCAGAGTTACCTTTAAAGAAAGCTGATTTTTAGATCTGACTCCCAGCTCCAGAGTTGCCCTCAAACCGAGCCGATTCTCAGATTTGACTTTCAGCGCCAGAGTCAACCTCAAACCAAGCAGATTCTCAGGTCTATTGCCCTCAGATGGAGAGGATTCTCATATCCGATTCCCAGCTCCAGAGTCAACCCCAGACTGAGCAGATTCCCAGATCCGACTTCCAGCTACAGAGTCAACCCCCAGACTGAGACGATTCTCAGATCCAACTCCCAGCTCCAGGGTCAACCCCCAGACCGAGCAGATTCTCAGATCCGACTCCCAGCTAGAGAGTCAACTCCCAGACCGAGACGATTCTCAGATCTGACTCCCAGCTCCAGGGTTAACCCCCAGACCTAGCCATTTCTCAGATCGGACTCCCAGCTCCAGAGTCAACCCCTAGACCGAGCAGATTCTCAGATCCGACTCCCAGCTCCAGAGTCAACCCCCAGACCGAGCCGATTCTCATATCTGACTCCCAGCTCCAGGGTCAACCCCCAGACGGAGCCGTTTCTCAGATCCAACTCCCAGTTTCAGAGTCAACCCCCAGACTGAGCCGATTCTCGTATTCAACTCCCAGCTCTAAGGTTAACCGCCAGACTGAGCCATTTCTCAGATCCGACTCCCAGCTCCAGAGTCAACCCCTAGACTGAGCAGATTCTCAGATCCGACTCCCAGCTCCAGAGTCAACCCCAGACCGAGCTATTTCTCAGATCCGACTCCCAGCTCCAGAGTCAACCCCTAGACGAGCAGATTGGCAGATCCGACTCCCAGCTCCAGTCAACCCCCAGACCGAGACGATTCTTAGATCCGACTCTCAGCTCCAGAGTCAACCCCCAGAACGAGCCGATTCTCAGATCCAACTCCTAGCTCCAGAGTCAACCCCCAGACCGAACCTATTCTCCGATCTGACTCCCAGCTCCAAAGTCACCTTCAGATTGAGCTGATTGTCAGACCTACCAGCTCCAGGGTCACCTGCAGACAAAGCTGCTTTTGAGATCTATCTCCCAGCTCCAGAGTCATCCTTAAACAAAGCCTCTGTTTAGATTTCAGCTCCAGAGCAGCCCACAGACAAAGTTGCTTTTCAGATCCGATTCTCAGCTATAAATGGATTCTCAGATCTGACTCCGAGCTCGAGTTGTCCTCAGGAAAAGCTGGTTCTCAGCAATGATAATTTTGACATCAAATTTATATGGAGTTTTAGCTGTATTTCAGTCTTTGCAGATGACACCAAGCTGTACCAGAAATAATGTCCTTACAGGATGTCTCCAACTTACAAGCCGACCTCAATGCTCTGTGTAATTGGGGGACTATGGGACCCAAGAGGTTTAATGTTGGTAATTGTAAGGTTCTGCACTTGGGGGCTAAGAATATGCATGCATCATACATACTAGGGGGGTACAACTGGGGGGGGGGGGGGCAATGGTGAAGGATCTGGGGGGGGTAAATGGTGAAGGATCTGGGGGGGGGGGGTCAATGGTGGAGATGGATCTGGGGGGGTAAATGGTGAAGGATCTGGGGGGGGGGGGGGGGGTGAATGGTGGAGAAGGATCTGGGGAATCATTGGTGAAGGATCTAGGGGGTCAATGGTGGAGAAGGAATGGGGGGGGGTCAATGGTGAAGGATCTGGGGGGGGTCAATAGGGGAGAAGGATCTGGGGGGGTCAATAGTGGAGAAGGAACTGGGGGGGTCAATGGTGAAGAATCTGGGGGGGGGTCAATGGTGGAGAAGGATCTGAGGATATCAATGGTGAAGGATATGGGGGTATCAATGGTAAAGGATCTGGGGGGGGGGGGCTCGTCAATGGTGAAGGATCTGGGGGGGGTCAATGGTGGAGAAGGATCTGGGGGGGGGTCAATGGTGAAAGATCTGGGGGTTCTGGTAGATCATAAGCTTAATAATGGCAGCAATGCCAAGCTGCGGGTTCTACAGCGAGCAAAATTCTCTCTTGTATTAGGAGAGGTATGGACTCCAGAGAGAGATATTACCCCTAATACCTCATCTGGAATATGCAGTTCAGTTTTGGGCACCAATTCACAAAAAGAACATTGGGGGAACTGGAGAAAGTACAGAGAAGGGCAACCAAACTGATAAGAGGCATGGAGGAGATCAGCTATGAGGAAAGATTAGAGGAACTGAATTTATTCTCTACTGAGAAGAGGAGATTAAGGGGGGATATGATCTCCATGTATAATACATAAGGGGGGATATGATCTACATGTATAATACATAAGGGGGATATGATCTACATGTATAATACATAAGGGGGATATGATCTCCATGTATAATACATAAGGGGGGATATGATCTCTATGTATAATACATAAGGGGGGGATATGATCACCATGTATAATACATAAGGGGGATATGATCTCCATGTATAATACATAAGGGGGGATATGATCTCCATGTATAATACATAAGGGGGATATGATCTCCATGTATAATACATAAGGGGGATATGATCTCCATGTATAATACATAAGGGGATATGATCTCCATGTATAATACATAAGGGGGGATATGATCTCACATGTGTAATACATAAGGGGGGATATGATCTCCATGTATAATACATAAGGGGGGATATGATCTCCATGTATAATACATAAGGGGGGATATGATCTCCATGTATAATACATAAGGGGGATATGATCTCCATGTATAATACATAAGAGGGGGATTTGATCTCCATGTATAATACATAAGGGGGGGGGGATATGATCTCCATGTATAATACATAAGGGGGGATATGATTTCCATGTATAATACATAAGGGGGGGATATGATCTCCATGTATAATACATAAGGGGGGGGATATGATCTCCAAGTATAATACATAAGGGGGGGGGGATATGATCTCCATGTATAATACATAAGGGGGGGGGATATGATCTCCATGTATAATACATAAGGGGGGGATATGATCTTCATGTATAATACATAAGGGGGGATATGATCTCCATGTATAATACATAAGGGGGGATATGGGAATATGCAGTTCAGTTTTGGGCACCAATTCACAAAAAGAACATGGGGGGGAGATAAGAACTCCAGGCATAATACTGATAAGAGGGGGGGATATGATCTCCTATGAGGAAAGATTAAGGAACTGAATATCTCTACCACTGAGAAAGGAGATAAGGGGGGGATATGATCACCATGTATAATACATAAGGGGGGATATGATCTCCATGTATAATACACAAGGGGGGATATGATCTCCATGTATAATACATAAGGGGGGATATGATCTCCATGTATAATACACAAGGGGGATATGATCTCCATGTATAATACATAAGGGGGGATATGATCTCCATGTATAATACATAAGGGGGGATATGATCTCCATGTATAATACACAAGGGGGGATATGATCTCCATGTATAATACAAGGGGGGATATGATCTCCATGTATAATACATAAGGGGGGATATGATCTCCATGTATAATACATAAGGGGGGATATGATCTCCATGTATAATACACAAGGGGGGATATGATCTCCATGTATAATACACAAGGGGGATATGATCTCCATGTATAATACATAAGGGGGGATATGATCTCCATGTATAATACATAAGGGGGGGGGATATGATCACCATGTATAATACATAAGGGGGGATATGATCTCCATGTATAATACATAAGGGGGATATGATCTCCATGTATAATACATAAAGGGGGGGAAATGATCTCCATGTATAATACATAAGGGGGGGGGATATGATCTCCATGTATAATACATAAGGGGGGGGATATGATCTCCATGTATAATACATAAGGGGGGGATATGATCTCCATGTATAATACATAAGGGGGGGGGGATATGATCTCCATGTATAATACATAAGGGGGATATGATCTCCATGTATAATACATAAGGGGGATATGATCTCCATGTATAATACATAAGGGGGGATATGATCTCCATGTATAATACATAAGGGGGGATATGATCACCATGTATAATACATAAGGGGGGGATATGATCTCCATGTATAATACATAAGGGGGGGATATGATCTCCATGTATAATACATAAGGGGGGATATGATCTCCATGTATAATACATAAGGGGGGGGATATGATCTCCATGTATAATACATAAGGGGGGATATGATCTCCATGTATAATACATAAGGGGGGATATGATCTCTATGTATAATACAAAGGGGGGATATGATCTCCATGTATAATACATAAGGGGGATATGATCTCCATGTATAATACATAAGGGGGGATATGATCTCCATGTATAATACATAAGGGGTGGATATGATCGCCATGTGTATAATACATAAGGGGGGATATGATCTCCATGTATAATACATAAGGGGGATATGATCTCCATGTATAATACATAAGGGGGGATATGATCTCCATGTATAATACATAAGGGGGGGATATGATCTCCATGTATAATACATAAGGGGGATATGATCTCCATGTATAATACATAAGGGGGGATATGATCTCTATGTATAATACATAAGGGGGGATATGATCTCCATGTATAATACATAAGGGGGGATATGATCTCCATGTATAATACATAAGGGGGATATGATCTCCATGTATAAATACATCAGTGGTCCATACAGTGAACTCGGTGTAGATATTCACCCTGAGGTCATCGCAGAGGACAAGGGGGCACTCTTTACGTCTGGAGGAAAAGAGATTTAATCTCCAAAACACGGAAAGGTTTCTTCACAGTGAGAGCTGTGAAAATGTGGAACAGACTCACTCAAGAGTTGGTCCTGGCCAGCTCAGTGGATTGCTGTAGGAAAGTCCTGGATCCTTTCTTGGATACACAGAATATAACATTTATAGGTAAAGTTGATCCAGGGAATATCCGATTGCCTCTCGGGGATCAGGAAAGAATATTTTTCCCTGCAGGAGCAAATTGGATCATGCTTTGCTGGGTTATTGCCTTCCTCTGGATCAACTGTGGGTGTAGGCTTATAACTTGTTTTTTTTATGGTTGAACTGGATGGACTTTTGTCTTTTTTCAGCCAGACTAACTATGTGAATTGTTTTAGTATTTTAGTCATCTGAATTGTTTTAGTTTCATTCGTACTTTTGACGACTAAATTAACATTGGTTCAAAGATCTGACTTTTAGCTACAGAGTCGTCTTTAGATGAAGCCGATTCTCAGGTCTGACTCCCAACTCCAGAGTCAACCCCCCCCCCCCCCCCCCCCCAAAAAAGCTGATTCTCAGGTTTGACTCACAGCTACATAGTACACCTTTAGATGAAGCTGATTCTCAGGTCTGACTCCCAGAGTGGTAATTACACAAAGTTAATTCTAAGAACTGACTCCCAGCTTCAGAGTGGTAATTACAATTAATTCTCAGATCTGACTCCCAGCTTCAGAGTGGTAATTACAGTTGATTCTCAGATCTGACTCCCAGCTCCAGAGAGGTAATTACACAAAGTTAATTCTCAGATTAGACTCCTAGCTCCTGAGCAGCCCTCAGAAAAAGCTCACTCTCAGCTCTGACTTCCAGCTCCAGAGTTATCCTCAAACAGAGCTGGTTCTTAGATCTGACTTTCAGTTACACAGCCACCCTTAGACAAAGTGGACTTTCAGATCTGGTTACCAGCTCTAGCTAACCTCAGACCGAGCTGCTTTTCAGATCTGTCTCTCGGCTCCAGAGCTGCTCTCAGACCAAAACAGACTTGAACATCTGACTCCCAGCTCCAGAGTCGCCATCAGATAAAGCAAAAATAAATCTTTCACAAGTAAACCTCTAAGATCATCATATGTTTAATGTTCAGATTATTGCATATGCCCAGCCATTGCTGGTTCTCTAACAAATAAAACCGGCATTGGCCATTATCACGTGTCCTTGCCCACATGGATTCTCTCATGCTGGGCAAGGTAGGCCTTGCACAGGAATCTCTTCCCGCACGTGGGGCAGGCGAAGGGCCGGTCGCCGGCGTGGATCTTCTCGTGGCGAACCAGGTCGGACTTCTGCGTAAAGCGCTTATCGCACTGCATGCATGAGTACGGCTTCTCCCCGGAATGGGAGCGCTGGTGTATGACCAGGTGGCTGTTGCTGATGAAGCTTTTCCCGCAAAGGCTGCAGCTGAACGGTTTCTCCCCGGTGTGGACGATGTGATGCTTGGCCAGGTGCGACTTCTGTGTGAAGCGCTTGTCGCACAGCGGGCAGCCGAACGGCTTCTCCCCCGTGTGCACCCGCACGTGCGCCACCAGCCGGGCGTTATTGCTGAAGCACTTGCCGCACTCCGAGCAGGCGAATCGTTTCTCCCCCCGTGTGGACGATCTGGTGGATGACCAGGTGGGATTTCTGTGTGAAAGACTTGCCGCACAGGTCGCACACGTAAGGCTTGTGGCCGCCGGTGTGGGTCTTCTGGTGCTTGAAGAGGTTGGAGCTCTGGTTGAACTGCTTGCCGCATTCACCACAGCAGTACGGCCGTTCGCCGGTGTGGCTCCGCAGGTGCTTCACCAGGTACGAGTTGCAGGAGAAGCTCTTGCCACACTCAGAGCACTCAAAGGGCTTCTCGCCCGAGTGGATCCGACGGTGAATGATGAAGTGGGAGAGGCGGGTGAAGGCCTTGCCGCAGTCCTGACAGATGTACTGCTTGCGGCTGCCCGGCGAGCCGACGTGATCGATCTGGGGATTCTGGGACATGTCACAAGTTTGGTAGTCTGAAAATGCAATCAGAGAATTTAGAGCAATCTTTACATCTGGTTTAAATGACAACCCAAGTCCACATTTTTGCAGATTACAGCTTGGCAAAGATTTAAAGGTCAGGCAGTTTCCTAGATTGCCAAAAGATCAATGCTGATCAGCAAAAAGTCAGGCAATTTCTTCGATCGACATTCACGTCATGTCAACCATCCTCAGTCATGCCGATCTCTACATGTCTAAGGTCTCAGGAGCCCTCAAAGTCTCTCTCTTCAGTCTAAATCTGCTTCGTTATGGCATTTCCAGAATACGCACCTACACAGGCAATTAACCACTTGCCGACCGCAGATAGCCGAATGACGTCTGGCCAGTTCTGGGAGGGTGTCATATGACGTCCTCCCAGAACGCGCTCTCCTGCACACCCCCGGCGATCTCCGTCCTACGGACACAGCTGATCACGTGATGTGGTAAAAGGCCAATCGAAGCGGCCTTTTACCACGTGATCAGCTGTGTCCATTGACACAGCAGATCACCAGTAAATGCAGTTACCGGTTATCGGCTGCACTTTCCTCATACTGTCACAGCATGGGGAAAGTACTGCCGATAACCGGCAATTGTCGGAGGACAGATCGGCACGGATGATGATGATCAGTACCCTGATGATCAGTGCCCAGCAGTGCCAGCCACCTTTGCCCAGCAGTGCCGCCCACAAGTACCCACCAGTGCCTAGTAGTGCCACCCACCAGTGCCCAACAGTGCCTAGTAGTGCCAACCACCTGTGCCCAGCAGTGCCACCCACAAGTGCCCAGTGTCACCCCACTTGTGCCCACCAGTGCCACCCACCAGGGCCCAGTGTCTAGTAGTGCCACCCACCAGTGCCCAACAGTGCCTAGTAGTGCCAACCACTTGTGTCCTTCAGTGCCACCCACCAGTGCTGCCTATCCGTGCCACCTCAGTGCCCAGTGCCACCCACTTGTGCCCATCAGTGCTACCACCAGTACCCATCAGTTCACCCACCAGTGCCCAACAGTGCCTAGTAGTGCCACCCACCTGTACCCAGCAGTGTCGCCCACAAGTGCCCACCAGTGCCACCCACTTCTGCCCATCAGTGCCACCCACCAGTGCCCAACAGTGCCTAGTAGTGCCACCCACCAGTGCTGCCTATCCGTGCCACCTCATCAGTGCCGCCACATCAGCGCACATCAGTGAAGGAGAAAAATTACCGGTTTTCAAAATTTTATAATAGAAACAAAGAAAAACTTTATTTTTTTTTTCAAAATGTTTGCTCTTTTTTTGTTTATAGCGCAAAGAAAAAAAAAAAATACCCAGCGGGGAGTACATACCACCAAAACAAATTTGTGTGAAAAAAATGATAAAAAGTTCATATGGGCGCAGTGTTGCATGACCGCGCAATTGTCATTCAAAGTGCAACAGCGCTGAAAGCTGGCCTGGGCAGGAAGGGGGTAGAAGTGCCCAGTAGGCGAGGGATTAAAAGGTATGTATCTGTACCAGATGGTGGTGACAGCAGCTCTGTTATGCCGTTGTATGGACAGATTTTATAGATAAAGACTTTAATTCCCTTTCACGTCTGAAAAGACCAGAACGCCTTCGTAACTTTTTAACATGATCAAGTCTTGAGTATGGATGTTCTGGTTTTCTCTAGGGGTAATCATACGATGTGGGAAGCCTCCTCCCCTGCGGGAAGCCTCCTCCCCTGCGGGAAGCCTCCTCCCCTGCGGGAAGCCTCCTCCCCTGTGGGAAGCCTCCTCCCCTGTGGGAAGCCCCCTCCCTGGCCATCCGAAGTCTGAGATCTCTGTAGGACCACTGAACCGTATGGAGATGTGTTTTCAATGCGATGGGTGGTTTGCGGTCCTAGAAGTTTCTCTCCACCTATAGGGTCTTGCTGGACCCCCAGATGTGTTTACTAGTTTTGAAAGGATGGGGGCGCCACATCAACTTGTATAGTCCTTTAAAAGATTTTCATTTTGCAATGCATTTTGGTTGCTCAGCACAGCACCCCCCCCCCCCCCCCTTCATCAGGGCTAAAACCTAGAAAATAGAGAAAATTCAAAACATTCCTTAAAGTGATATCAAAAGGCATTTTTTAAACAAATATGCTATACTTCCCTCCTCTGTGTAGTGGTTTTGCACAGAGAAGCACCGATCTTCCTCTTTTCGGGTCCCACGTCGGCGCTCCTGGCCCCTCCCTCCTGCCGAGTGCCCCCAGAGCAAAAAGCTGGCTATGGGGGGCACGAGAGCAGGCTCTCTCCTAAGCTGCTGCCCTGCGCTCCTGGCCCCCTCTCTCCTGCCAAGTGCCCCAGAGCAAGTATCTTGCTATGGGGCACATGAGCAGGCTCGCTCCTGAGCCGTGGCTTTGCATGTTCATTCACAGAGCCGCAGCTCCACTCCGCCCCCCTCTCTTCTCATTGGCTCACTATCTGTGATTGACAATGGCTCCCACTGCTGTCTTAGTCAATGAGGAGGGGGAGTCAGCTCAGTATCTTTAAACGTGGTCCCGTGATAGGTTGTCACCTGAGCAATAAGTCCATCCGTGACATTTCCTGGCTACTAAATATTCCATGCTCAACTGTTAGTGGGATTATAACAAAGTGGAAGCAACTGGGAACAGCAACTCAGCCACCAAGTGGTAGGCCACGTCACATGACAGAGCGGGGTCAGCGCATGCTGAAGCGCACAGTGCGCAGAAGTCACCAACTGTCTGCAGAGTCAATAGCTAAAGACCTCCAAACTTGGTGTGGCCTTCAGATGAGCCCAACAACAGTGTATAGAGAGCTTCATGGAATGGGTTTCTATGGCCGAGCAGCTGCATCCAAGCCTTCCATCACCAAGTGCAATGCAAAGCGTCGGATGCCGTGGCGTAAAGCATGCCGCCACTGGACTCTAGAGCAGGGAGACGTGTTCTCTGGAGTGACCAATCACGCTTCTCTGTCTGGAAATCCGATGGACGTGTCTGGGTTTGGCGGTGGCCAGGAACACGGTACTTGCCTGACTGCATTGCGCCAAGTATAAAGTTTGGTGGAGGGGGGATTATGGTGTGGGGTTGTTTTTTAGGGGTTGGGCTTGGCCCCCTAGTTCCAGTCAAGGGAACTCTTAAGGCGACATTTTGGACAATTTCATGCTCCCAACTTTGTGGGAAGAGTTTGGGGATGGCCCCTTCCTGTTCCAACATGACTGCGCACCAATGCACAAAGCAAGGTCCATAAAGACATGGTGGAGCCAGTTTGGGGTGGAGGAACTTGACTGTCCTGCACAGAGTCCTGACCTCAACCCCATAGAACACCTTTGGGATGAATTAGAGCGGAGAGTATGAGCCAGGCCTCCTCCCCCGACATCAGTGCCTGACCTGACAAATGTGCTTCTGGAAGAATGGTCCAACCTTCCCATAGACACCCTCCTAAACCTTGTGGGTGGCCTTCCCAGAAGAGTTGAAGCTGTTATAGCTGCAAAGGGCGGGGCCAACTCAATATTGAACCCCACGGAGTAAGACTGGGGGGCCATTAAAGGTCATGTGTGTGGAAAGGCCAGCGACCAATACTTTTGGCAACATAGTGTATGTATCTATGTATAGTTATCTCCTGTACTGTGTCCGCAGTCTCCGGTCATCTCCTGTACTATGTCTGCAGTCCATAGGTTCACAATCTTTTTTTTCACAATCGTTTTCCTCCTCGGTGTGTCTTATAGCAAAAAAAAAAAAAAAAAAAAAAAAAAAAAAACCGTATATCTGCAATATTATATATTATTGGCATATACCATTGCTCAAGAAGTATAAACACCAAGAGAAAAAAAAAAAAAAAGGTATGTCGGTTTTTGGCTTCAATAATAATGCCTTACGGTATTAGTACTTTTCTGCATACTGTGTATATCTATCTATCTATCTATATATATATATATATATATATATAGTGGGGCAAAAAAGTCAGCCACCAATTGTGCAAGTTCTCCCACTTAAAAAGATGAGAGAGGCCTGTAATTGGCATCATAGGTAGACCTCAACTATGAGAGACAAAATGAGAAAAAAAATCCAGACAATCACATTGGCTGATTTGGAAAGAATGTATATTTGCAAATTATGGTGGAAAATAAGTATTTGGTCACCTACAAACAAGCAAGATTTCTGGCTCTCACAGACCTGTACCTTCTTCTTTAAGAGGCTCCTCTGTCCTGCACTCATTACCTGTATCAATGGCACCTGTTTGAACTTGTTATCAGTATAAAAGACACCTGTCCACAACCTCAAACAGTCACACTCCAAACTCCACTATGGTGAAGACCAAAGAGCTGTCGAAGGACACCAGAAACAAAATTGTAGACCTGCACCAGGTTGGGAAGACTGAATCTGCAATAGGCAAGCAGCTTGGTGTGAACAAATCAACTGTGGGAGCAATAATTAGGAAATGGAAGACATACAAGACCACTGATAATCTCCCTCAATCTGGGGCTCCGCACAAGATCTCACCCCGTGGGGTCAAAATGATCACAAGAACGGTGAGCAAAAATCCCAGGACCACACGGGGGGACCTAGTGAATGACCTGCAGAGAGCTGGGACCAACGTAACAAAGGCTACCATCAGTAACACACTATGCCGCCAGGGACTCAGATCCTGCAGTGCCAGACGTGTCCCCCTGCTTAAGCCAGTACATGTCCGGGCCCGTCTGAAGTTTGCTAGAGAGCATTTGGATGATCCAGAAGAGGATTGGGAGAATGTCATATGGTCAGATGAAACCAAAATAGAACTGTTTGGTAGAAACACAACTTGTCGTGTTTGTAGGAGAGAGAATGCTGAGTTGCATCCAAAGAACACCATACCTACTGTGAAGCATGGAGGTGGCAACATCATGCTTTGGGGCTGTTTCTCCGCAAAGGGACCAGGGCGACTGATCCATGTACAGGACAGAATGAATGGGGCCATGTATCGTGCGATTTTGAGTGCAAACCTCCTTCCATCAGCAAGGGCATTGAAGATGAAACGTGGCTGGGTCTTCCAACATGACAATGATCCCAAACACACCGCCCGGGCAACATTGGAGTGGCTTCGTAAGAAGCATTTCAAGGTCCTGGAGTGGCCTAGCCAGTCTCCAGATCTCAACCCCATAGAAAACCTTTGGAGGGAGTTGAAAGTCCATGTTGCCCAGCGACAGCCCCAAAACATCACTGCTCTAGAGGAGATCTGCATGGAGGAATGGGCCAACATACCAGCAACAGTGTGTGCCAACCTTGTGAAGACTTACAGGAAACATTTGACCTCTGTCATTGCCAACAAAGGATATATAACAAAGTACTGAGATGAACTTTTTATATTGACCAAATACTTATTTTCCACCATAATTTGCAAATAAATTCTTTCCAAATCAGCCAATGTGATTGTCTGGATTTTTTTTCTCATTTTGTCTCTCATAGTTGAGGTCTACCTATGATGCCAATTACAGGCCTCTCTCATCTTTTTAAGGGGAAGAACTTGCACAGTTGGTGGCTGACTGACTACTTTTTTGCCCCACTGTGTGTATATATATATATATATATATATATATACACATATATATATATATATATATATATATATATATATATATATATACACATACACACACACATACATATATATATATACATATATACACACATACACACATCTCGATCTATCTTTTATCACATTTGAAGGTATCTTTGTATTTTCTCTATTGTCTAGATTTAAGCCCTGATGAAGGGGGTGCAGAGTCCCCGAAATGCGCTGGATGTTGCAAAATAAAAATCTTTTTAAAAAAAGGACTGTAGAAGCTGGTATGGCGCTCCCATCTTTTCAAAGTCTAAGGGGACCCCAGTGGCTGTGAGGGACAAGTATACAAGGAAGTAATCTCTCCTTCTGTGCTACCTGAGCCTGCTCCAATATGGAAGCTCCAGAAAACACAGCTACATAGATATTTCAGGATATATTTCAGTGCTCCTGCCAGCCGTGGAATGTAATTCTGTGAATTACAGCTCAACTCTTCTTTATATGATTAAAGATTAAAAAAAAATAAAAAAAATCACAGGAGTTGATTTTGAAGGTAGTTCTCTCTTTGTACTCACTTGAAGCAATCTCTACAGGGCTTTCCTCCTCTTTGATTCTCATTAGGTAAGCCTCGTCTATGTAATCCTCTTCCTCCTCGGCTTTTGGCACAACTATAATGTTCAGACCGTCCTCCAGCTTGACAAGACAAAAAAAAAAAAAATACATAAAAAAGGAGATGATCTAATTACCGAATGGAGTTTCCAAAACTGTAACTGTAAATAAAAACCTCTACTGCTCTTACTGTAGAGAATCACCACAGCTGTTATTGTAGATCCTCTGCACTGCTTTTACCATGGAGAATCTTCAATATTATTGCTGTACATAACCTCTCAGTCTCCAAAGCTTTTAGTGTACAGAATTTCCTCATCTTTTGCTTTTGGAGGATCACTAAAACTATTACCATATTTTTAAACCTTTTATTTTAACCCCCCCCCCCCCCCCCCCCCCCCCCCCCTTCCTGACCAGGCCATTTTTTGTGCTGCATTACTTTAACTGACAATTGCGCGATCGTGCAGCGCTGCACCCAAATTAAATTTACGTCCTTTTTTTCCCATGTACAGAGCTTTCTTTCGGTGGTATTTGATCGCCTGTGCGGTTTTTATTTTTTGCGCTGTATTAAAAAAGAAAAAAACACGACAATTTTGTAAAAAGAAAAAAATATATTTTTTACTTTTTTTGCTATTAAATATATCCAATACAAAAAATGTAAAAAATAAATCAAATTTTGCCATAAATTTAGGCCAAAATGTATTCTGCTCCGTGTCTTTGCTAAAAAAAAAAAAATCTCAATACATGTAAATTAATTGGTTTATGTGAAATTTATAGCATTTACAAAATGGCGGTATATATATATATTTTACAAGTAATGGCAGCGATCAGCGACTTAAAGGAGGAACTGTGGGGGGGGCATTCTGACACTGGGAGGAACTGACTTGGTGTCACTGACATCCCCAGTGACAACAATACAGTGATCAGTGCGAATTAAAAGCACTGACATTGTACTAATGGCACTGGGCAGGAAGGGGTTAACATGTAGGGCGATCAAAGGGTTAACTGTGTGCTGTTTTACTAGGGGGCGGGGTCTGTGTGCTTCGCGATAAGCACTGAGCACAGCCATGCAAAGCAGTGTGAAGGAGCTGAGAGGGGAGAGAACTCGGGAGATGCTCGGCAATCACCGGGTGCCGGTGAGTAATCACCGACCGGGACCCGGTGATTGACAGCTGCGCCCGCGAATGGCGGCACGGGTAGGGCATGCGCACCCTACCTGGAAATGCAAAATCACGTATATATACACGTGATTTTACGCACCCGTGCCGTTCTGTAGCAGTTCTTCTGCTATAGGGCGGACAGGAAGCGGTTAAAAGGTACCTGCACTACTTTTACTATAAAGAATCCAAAGCTTTTAGTTCTATTTCCACTGCCTTTGCGGTAACAGTGCATTACAGAGAATAATCCCCTCTACTTTTATTGTAGATTTGCTCCAGAGCTATTACTGTATATAAGCTCCACCACATAAATGGCAGTCTCTCCAAAGCTTTTACTGTAGAGAATCTCTACAACTATTACTGTAGATCATTTTCAATACTTTACTATAGAGATTATCCAAACTATTACTGCACACAATTTTCATCCATTTTACTGTACAGATTCTACAAAGCATCTAAAATCAATAACGCTGATTGTATCTACTGTAGCTATCACAACTGATAATTGTGTTTCCTTCTATGATAGTCAATCTTCATTGACTATCCGAAGATATTATTCACTGCTTTTACTATTAAGAACTTCTAAAACCTAACTAAATATTCTCTGCTGCCTTAATTGTATAATCTGTGATTCTTTACTATAGAGACTCTTCACTGCTTTTACTGTAGAGAATATTCACCTGTTTTTACCGCAGAGAACTCTGTTTACACGCAAGTTTCCATAACTTACCGGAAATCCCTGAAAAGTGTTTTCTTCCTTAATATGGGGTGAATATTCAGGACTGGGACACCGCTCTGGCATGGGTCCATGACCTCCTGCAACTGTTAGAAAGACAGTATGACCAAACAAGTCCGGTTACAGATCCCACACAAGAAATGAAAGTCTCCTCTTACCCGGTGATGTGAGGGGCGGCTGATCCTCCATCATGACGTCCTTGTAGAGATCCTTGTGTCCTTCTAAATACTCCCACTCCTCCATGGAGAAATAGACAGTGACATCCTGACACCTTATAGGAACCTGACACACACAATGATACAGTCACCATCCAGACACATCCCTTGTCTGTTACTGGAGAATGCCCCAGAATTCCCGGCACCACTCACCTCTCCTGTCAGCAGCTCGATGATCATCTGGGTGACTTCTAGAATCTTCTTGTCATTTCTCTCGGCTGTCAGGTAGTGGGGTGGGAGATCACTGGGCTTCTTCTTTATGGGTCCATAATCCTTAGAAAGGAGTTATAATATATATCACATAGACACGGCTACCTGGCATCGGTGCGCTCTGAGCGTGCATCCCTTTGTCTGCTCCGATCATGTGTGCCTTGTATACTGGTACTGTGCAAATCATGCGTGTGCTCTGACTGTGCATGTCCTATGTGCGGTGTCTGCTCTGACTGTATGTGCCAGTTGTGCTCCCACTGTTTCTTGTGCACCCTGTGTGCTGTCTTTGCTCTGACCATCTGTTTCTCTTTCTTTGCTCTGACTTTGTGTGCTTGCTCTGTGTGCACCCTGTGGCTTCGCTCTGTGTGTGCCCTCTCTGTGTCTGCCCTGTGTGCTCCAACTATGCATGCCCTATGTGCGCTTGAATTGTATGTACTGTGTGTGCTCTGACTGAGGTTTTCCTTGTGTGCTCTGATTGTGAATGCTCTGCTGCTCGGATGACAAGCCAGAGAGAGAGAGAGAGGAAGAGGAAGAAGAAGAGGAGGAAGAGGAGGAAGAAGAAGGAAGGAGGAGGGAGGAGGAGGAGGAGGAGGAGGAAGAAAGAGGAAGAAGGAGGAGGAAGAAGAGGAAGAAGGAGGAGGAAGGAAGAGGAAAGGAAGGAGGAGGAAGAAGAGGAAGAAGGAGGAGGAGGAAGAGGAGGAGGAAGAAGGAGGAGGAGGAGGAAGAGGAGGAGGAAGAAGGAGGAGGAGGAAGAGGAGGAAAGGAGGAAGAAGAAAAAGAGGAGGAAGAGGAGGAGGAAGAAAAAAAAGAGGAGGAAGAGAGGAGGAAGAAAAAGAGGAGAAGAGGAGGAGGAGGAAGAAAGAAAAAGAGGAGGAAGAGGAGGAAGAAAAAGAGGAGGAAGAGGAGGAAGAGGAAGAAGAAAAAGAGGAAGAGGAAGAAGAAGAGGAAGAAGAAAGGGGAAGAAGAGGAGGAGGAGAAGGAAGAGAGGAAGGAAGAGGAGGAGAAGGAAAGGAAGAGAAGGAGGAGGAGGAGGAAGGAAGAGGAAGAGAAGGAAGGAGGAAGAGAGAGGAAGAGAGGAGAAGGAAGAGGAAGAGAAGGAAGAGGAAGAGAAGGAAAGGAAAGAGGAAGAGAAGGAAGAGGAAGAAGAAGGAAGAGGAGGAGAAGGAAGAGGAGGAGAAGGAAGAGGAGGAAGAAGGGGGAAGGTGGGGGAGGAAGAAGGAGAGGAAGAGAAGGGGGGAAGGGAGAGGAGGGTGAAGGAAGAGGAAGAAGGGAAGGAGGGAAGGGGGGAAGGAGGGGAGGAGAAGGAAGAGGGAAGAGGAGGGAAGGAGGGTGAAGAAGGAGGGGGGAAGGAAGAGGTGGGAGGGGAAGGGGGAAAAAGGAGGAGGAAGGGAGGAGGAGAAGAAAGGGGGAAGGGGGAGGGGGGAAGGGGAGGAGAAAAGGGAGAAGAGGAGGGGGGGGGGGGGGGGGGGGGAGGGGGGGGGAAGGGGAGGAGGGGGGGGAGGGGGAGAAAAAGGAGGGGGGGGAGGGGGAAGGGGGAGGGGGGGGGGAGAAGGGGGGGGGGGGGGGGGGGGGGGGGGGTGGGGGGGGGGGGGAAAGGAGAAGGAGGGGGGAAAGGGGGGGGTGGAGAAATCCCAGGGAGAGGAGGGGAAGGAGGAGAGGTGAGGAGAGGAGTAGGGAAAAAGGATGAGGAAGGAGAAGGAGGGGAGGAGGAAAAGGTGGGAGGGGGGAGGAGGAGAGGAGAAGGGGGAGGAAGGAGAGGAGAAGGGGGAGGAAGGAGGGAGAAGAGGGAGGAAGGAGAGGAATGGGGGAGGAAGAAAGGAGGAGAGGGGGAGAAAGGGGGTGATGGGAAGGGAGAGGGGGAGGTGTGGAGTGTGAGAGGGGAGGGAGAAAGGAGAGGAGAGAGTGGATGGGAGGAGGAGGGAAGAGAGAGGGAGGAAAGGAGAGGAGAAAGAGAGGGAGAAAGGAGAGGAGAAGAGAGAGGGAAAGGAGAGGGGAGGAGGGAGAAAGGAGAGGAGATGTTGAGAGGGAGAAGGAGAGAGAAGAGGAGGGGAGAGGGGAGGAGAGATGAAAGGAGAGGAGAGGAGAAGAGAGTTTTTGAATTGAAAGGAGAGATGGGAGAGAGAGGGTGAGGGGAGTGGTGGAGAGTGGAGAGGAGAGAGAGGGGGAAAGGAGAGGAGAAGAGAGAGGGAGAAAGGGGGAAGAGGTGAGAGGGAGAAAGGAGGAGTGGGGTGAGAAGGTATTGGAGAAAGGAGAGGAAGAGGGAGAAGGAGTGGGGGAATGAGGAGGAGGAGAAGGAAGGGATGTGGGAGGGGAAAAGAGTGGGAGGGGGAAAAGAGTGGAGGAGGGGAAAAGAGTGGAGGAGGGGGGAAAGAGTCCCTCTAGGAGGAAAAGAGGGGAAAAAGAGTGGAGAGGGGAAAAGATTGGAGGAGGGGAGTTTGAGAGGAAGAGGGGGGAGAGAGTGGAGGAGGAGAAGGGAGAGGAGAGAAGAGAGAGAAAGAGAGAAAAGGGAGAAAAAAAAATTAGAGACTCTCTGCTCTCACCCCCCCCCCCCCACCTTTGCTGACATGTGAATGACCCGACCTGACCCAATGCTCACCGGAGTAAACAAAAAAAAACAGCGCAGTTTATCGTTCAGCTAGAGATGAGTTTGGAGGACCCTAGGTCGCAGATCTCTAGGTGTGAAGCTGGATGTGTGCAGGGGGCCTCCAATACTGCAAACAGACAGTAGGGGGAGCTCTACTACAAAGGAGAGCTGGAGGGAACACGAAAGCCATGCGTTTTTGTTTTTTTTTCCCCGTTTTTTTTGCTTGCTGGTCTCATATAGAAAATGAGAGACCAGAACGAAAATTCTCCCATCATACAACTTTCCGCGCGTATGTGGCTAGGTAAGAGTGACGTCATGTGACCTCCCAGAATCCTCCTAACCTCTCCAGTCAGGTCTGTGTTTTACTACCCCCTTCCTGTCCAGGCCAATTTTCAGTTTTTCAGCGCTATCACACTTTGAATGACAATTGCGCGGGTCATGCAACACTACCTATATGAATTTTTTTTGCATTTTTTTTTGACAGATAAAGCTTTATTTTGGTAGTATTTATTCACCACTGGGATTTTTATTTTTTTGCTATGTAAATTAAAAAGTCCAAACATTTTGAAAAAAAAGTGTTTTTCTTAAAAAAGTTTGCAAATAAATAATATTTCATCATAAATCTTGGCCAAAATGTATTCAGTTATCTTTTTAGTGAAAAAAAAAAAAAATAACCCAAATTAGTTTATAACTAAAAATTTGAATTTTTTTAAACTTTTTTTTTTACATTTTTTTAACTTCTTGCCGACCGCGCATAGCCGAATGACGGCTTCACCGCGGCCGGCCAGTTCTGAGTGGACGTCATATGACGTCCTCCCAGAACGCGCTCTCCTGCGTGCCCCAGGGGGCGCGCACCCGGCGATCTCCGTGATCGCTGTGTCCTACGGACACAGCTGATCACGTGATGTGGTGAAAGGCCGATCCCACCGGCCTTTTACCACGTGATCAGCGGTGTCCAATGACACGCTGATCACAGGGAAATGCAAGTGCCGGTTCTCGGCTGCACTTTCCTCACGCTGTCAGATCGTGAGGAAAGTACTGCCGAGAACCGGCAGTTGTCAGAGCGGGGATCGGCACCGATCATCAGGGCACTGATGATCAGTGCCCTGATGATCGGTGCCCAGCAGTGACACCCGCAAGTTCCGCCCAGCAGTGCGCCCACTAGCCCCGCCCACCTGTTCCCAGCAGTGCCCCCACCTGTGCCCAGCAGTGCACCCACCTGTGCCACTCTGCAGTGCCACCCTACCTGTGCCCAGAAGTGCCACCTACATGTGCCCAGCCCAGAAGTGCCACCCACCTGTGCCCACCAGTGCCACCCACCTGTGCCCACCCACCAGTGCTGCCCACCAGTGCCACCCACCAGTGCAGCCCAGCAGTGCTGCCAGTCAGTGCCACCAGTCAGTGCCCAGGGGTTGTGCCAGTCAGTGCCGCCAGTCAGTGCCCAGAAGTGATGCCAGTCAGTGCCGTCTATCAGTACCCATCATCAGTGTCACCTATCAGTGCCGCCTATCAGTGCCGCCTATCCGTGACCCCTAATTAGTGCTGTCTATCAGTCAGTACCGCCTATCCGTGCCACCTCATTAGTACTGCCTATCAGTGCCCTTTAGTGCTGCCTATCAGTGCCCATCAGTGCCGCCTATCAGTGCCCATCAGTGCGCCTCATCAACGCAAATCAGTGAAGGAGAAAAAATACCTGTTTGAAAAATTTTATAAAAGATACAAATAAACTTTTTTTTTTTTTTTTTTCAAATTTTTTGCACTTTTTTTAATTTATAGCGCAAAAAGTAAAGTGCCCAGTGGCAATTAAATACCACCAAAAGAAAGCTCTATTTGTGAGAAAAAAATGATCAAAATTTCATATGGGTTCAATGTTGCATGACCGCGCAATTGTCAATCAAAGTGCGGCAGCGCTGAAAGCTGAAAATTGGCCTGGTAAGGAAGGGGGTATAAGTGCCTGGTAGGCAAGTGGTTAAATTATTATTTATGGGTTTTTATTTACATACGGTCACCATAGCAGTACAGTGTCACCATGGTACTTGTGGGGGGTGATGAAGATTTTTTTTTTTTTTTTTTTACACTGATTGCTTTTACACCCATAAAGGCTGTAAAAGCAATCATTTCTCCTTCTCCCTTGCTACATTCTTGCAGCGATTGAGAAATACTGTGTGAGCTGTGATTGG